GGCAACGTAATCTACTTTTCCAAGGGGTCCAACATTAAAAGTGAATGCTTTCAGCGCAATTAAGCCATATATCCCAACAAATTGTCTTTCTGTGTTTTGAGGTGTTATGATCAATTTCTTAATTGCAAGCGAGAACAGCGAGACAGTCATGAATTCGGCTTGCAGATGATCTATCATAATTTGAGCAAAATAATTGTAGATACGACCATACACGAACTATTAGCACACAAACAAAATAAGCTGAAAGCTGAAAAATTTTCACAAAGTTATCGTAACCAATCGCTGAATCCTTTAGAGAAAGCGTTTTATTGGAACGAATTTGTTTTGTGTCATCACGAAACCACCCATCTGCGTTCAGAATATCTGGGTTTTTGGCAACAAAATATTTTCAACTGTTTAGGAATAATAAAAACTTTGAGCTCGGTTCAGCTGTTTTTAAGACTTACATTTAAGCTTTTTAGAAATGTGGTGAATTCTAAACAGAAGAGGTATAAGCGAAAATAGGAAGTCTGCAAGTTAGTTAAAAAATACGTTTGTTAAAATCTGTTATCATTGACATTTTGTTAATTTCTGCTTTGCTGAACATACCAAAAATAGGCGATACATTCACACGATATGGTGCTTCGATTCAGCTGTAATAAATGAAATAAATGTATGTCCTTGCCCATCAGTGCGTTACCCACGTTTCCTATTGGGAATCCATAATTCCAAATTTTTTCAAAATGGTTGGCCAGCAGAGTAAAGTATTTTTATTAATTAAAAAAAAAAGATTAGTTCGGCGACATCGTTACGTTTATATGTACATAAAAGGAAAATTTTGAGCCTTCTGAGACCTATTTTTGAACATGAATGGGCGACCGATATTATGTTGCGTAGCTCCACGAGCTGTGACTAAATCATGTTTTCATATATAATCGCCATGATCTCTTTGCATCGTACATTCCTGTAGCCTTTTGTTTCGCAAATGTTACGAATTACAATTTCTCATAAGTCGCTCAAATGACATTGGAGAAACAATAAATTTACGCATATGTAATCATATTTATATGCTCAAGACCAAATCTGCATGCTAAACGGGCATGATTCACAAGCAAACATCCCTAGTAGCTAAGAAACCAAATCAGGCTTTAAAATGAGCCGTAGCAATCTAGAGCTTATCAGAAAGATTGTAAAAATCGAAATATCAAATTTGAGATGTGCGTATAGTCCTCGCATATATAGAAGTTGTTTGCAGATCAAGTGTAAGAATGAACGGAATTATCTGATAAACGCAATTATTATAACAAAATAATTAAGAGGGACCATTGAAAATTGGAAGTCTAAAATTAAGCTCGTCACTATTGCTTTGAAATAAAACAACTACTTTGTATACATTCGTGGCCAATTTCTACAAATAAGATGTGGAAAGAGGCCTGTTTCGCTAATGAATATTTCCAAGGCAAGTAGAAACCCAGCACAAGTTTCCTAAACTTCTGATATCTACTTCTGATATCTAGTATCCATAAAAATTTTTAAATGCTCTATGAGAATGGGCGTCGTTCGCTAATAAATATGCCCATTGCAATAATATTTGACGACCACCTTCGAAAGGAGGTGGTTCTCATCATACTTCTCTGAAGCGTGAAATAGGTTCTTAGAGAGCAAACAGATAAATTGGGGATAAAAAAAAAATTGATCCGCATTACTAATACGTAAAATTTATTCCCTCTAAGTTTACTCCTTTTAAATTTAGTTCATTTTTAATACGATTTGTTATACAAATTTTATATTAAATTCGTTGGAAAACTTAAGGTGACATCATGCGCTTGAAAGTACTACAAAGATTCTTACGTTCATGTGCACTTTTTCTTTGTTGAAATCTCGTTTATTTTATTATTTTGATCATATAATATGTTAAACGAAGTAATTAAAAATATAATTGATCTTCTGAAAAGCTTTCTCAGTAATAAATTAAATTACACAAGCGTAAAAAAAGTTTTTAATGGTTTAATTATTTTTGCATTACATTCTAAGCAAACAATTTCTACAAAGCTTGACGTTATAGTGTGTTTTGCAATGAAACTGAATTTAAACTTTTGTAATTTGATTAAAAAAGCTTTTATAATCAGTGAATCTCGGACAAGTACTGCTAACCTAGCTGTACATCAAGCGTAATTAGCGATTTCCATTATAATGGCATAAACATTGTCATTTTTGATCATTCAGCACTCGCTTGACCTTAGTGAAGTGCACAAGTGGTACACCAAGTATTCATGAAAAACCGCAATCCATGGAGATAGTCAGCATACATTCATTGGAATGATTTCCATACACTTTACGCTCAATTGAGCAATCATTTAAGCCACAAATTGTTTTCGTTCTTTCAAGTGTAATCAAATAGCAAATTTCGTAGAATAAAAGATAAAGTTAAAGGGAAAAAGCATTAAGAAATGTTAGGGAAGAAATTAATTGAATTCTACACCTTAATGAAAATAATAAAAGAATGAATTCTACGAAACATAGAATAAAAAAATAATAATGCAAGCATTTATATATATGTAGGTATAAACATAGCTAATGTAGTCTTTCCGCCTGTAGAAGGAAAGAAATGCAGGCAGTAAGACAATATAAAGCAAGTGTGCCCTTAAATGTCATATTTCAGGCGATCGCTTTTCTGCGTTGTTGCCTTTCTGGTCTCTGACTCTTTTAAGGAACAAATCAGGGTGCCGCTAAGCGGCTTATTATGTATTTATTGTAGTACGACTTTTTTCTGCTATTCCCAAAACTGGGATATTGTTATGTGTAGTAGGAAAGGCAAATATGCCTCTCTTGCAAGATTTCTTATCATATGCATTTGTGAATCAAGGTGACTTGGGATAACTTTGACCGAATCACAGTTTCACAAAAAGATTACGCCATTGCCAAAAGGAATTAAGATAAACCCATTTTTATACTTGCCTGACTGTCCGCACGTCTGTTTGCTTAATATCTGTCTCTCCTGTATTTTTGTGTTCAACTTGCACGTCGCAAGTTCTTATATTTTGACGGAATATGGGACACTAATATGTGCTCGCCTGAAGGATGAAAGCTCTTGGCAATGAATTAAATCTCCCCTTTTACGACCACTCTCTATACATGTTCTAAATTGAAGAATTTGTTATATTAAAATATTTGCTACAACGCACACTCAATAACCGTGCAAAATTTGGATCAGATGAGCTAAGTTTTTAAATTTCTTGTATATAAACATTCCTACGAAAAGTAAACCTTTATATAGCACAAAGTTTTAATTTTTAATATTTTATGATGAAAAGTAGTCCACGCCATTACGTTGACCAAGCAATTAATTGCACCAAATTTGGATTATTTACGTCTAAATTTTGAAAATTAGCTCGTACAAGAGCGTCAAGAATAGCAAGATCCTTGAGAAGAATATTGATTTTTTTGGATTTAAACCACAACAAAGATATGGTAAAAAGTAAGACGAAAAGAAATGAGGAATTGTGTAAGGCGAAGTTAAGAATATTCCGCAGTCGGCACTGCTCGGCTACAAAGGTTCTATTTGTTTCATTAATTTTTGTTCTCTTTGTTTTGTTATTACATCTAACGCTACTTACAGTAAACACTAATTTTAGTAAATGTACATTTTTTACGTTCAACCCAAAGTTGGCAGTTTTAAGAATGTTTTGAGAAAGGGTGGTATGAGTCGACGTGCTTACGACGGCTTAACAATTGCCTACGAAGGCATTTCGGTGCTCGTAGATTAATTTAAGACAGAAAATAGAAGCATTATAACTTTATTATCTAACGCTTCTGTGTGTTTCCTGGAATTAAATTTTATTTCTTTTTTTTTTGCAAGATGTTAATATGACTTTAATTACATATGAAAGGATCCAAATAATTGTTTCATTGCACCTGAATTTTTCACGCTTGAAAAGACTTGAGCACTAATATTGGTCCATTTTCCTCAAGAAATATTGTATTGATACTTTTTCCGTGCGACGAATTTTTCATAGTAAAGCATTATACGGAGCAAGGTCATAGAAATAGTCCAGTCCGATCCCAATAGGGTTCATCTTTATGGCAAAACATGTTAGCGTTCGAAATGTTTCGAAATTAAGAACAAGTGCAGATGCACAGATAAATATACATCGCACAAAGTTAAGTTACCCTCGTGTACAAGAGATGCGAGATATTATAGGGAATATTAAATCTATATACTGTGAGGTTAATGATTTCGGGTAATTTATATGTATTGCGGGTAATTAGCGTTCGCAGCATTACATTGAAGATGAGTATTTTAAACTTAAAATCCTTCCTCAGTATATATAAAAGAGAAGACGGATAAATATGTTTGCTCCATTTATAAATTTTGTGATGAATATCCTATTTCCATTGTAAATAGGTCAAAAGAAAAATAGTTGGTACATAATATTTGCGAAGCGTTTTGCTGATTAAGAGCCCATTTAAGGCTATGAATTATAGTTTTATAATCGTCACTAGGTGACAAAGCTGGACTAGATTTCATCATTTTACTTAATGTGTATCACAGACTTCATAATATATATATATATATATATACATTTATACATATCAAGGCATCACTTTGAGTCCAGCTCGTCTACTCGACTATCAACTTTTGAAATTGTATGATCTTCTGTGCATTGAAAATTTATTGTATTTATGCTCAAAATACTTGATTATTTTTTATATATTTACATTCTGTAGTTTTCTTTGCATTTATTATCAGCATAAAAATCATTTCATCCATTTAAAAATCGGCAAAACTTTATTTTTTTGTAATTTTCAAAAGAGGGACAAATAATTTCTATTCCCTGACATATTGTTGAATTCAAAAGAAGAATGTGAGTTTTTCAAATAATTTAAGCAAAGAAAGAGAATTTAAACTGTTATCTAGGTCTCTGTTAAAACGTGGTTCCTTCTTAAAAAGGGCTATTGTCAGTTGGCCTTTTAAAGGAATCAGTCGTTGGACGAAAGCTGGCGGTCCTAGTTTAATTAAAATGAAGGTTGTATCAGCTCCAAAAACAGTATGGAAAACCTATGATCAAAAAAACAAAGATGAAAAACGCGAATTATCGCCTAGCTTATGGATTTATAGACCTCAAGTTACATCATCCCTATCAATTATTTTACGCATCAGCGGCATTGCCCTCGGCTTTTCATTTTGGGGTCTGGGTCTATTTTCTTTAATTTCTGACCATCAGGCCGAGGAACTTGTACAATACGCTGAGGATTTAAATTGGCCTGGATGGTTTTGGGCTACAGCCCGTTGGTTTGTAGCTTTTCCGTTCGCTTATCATTACTGTAATGGCATTCGCCACATGTGTTTTATGGCTGGAAGTTTTTTGGATATCGGACAGATCTATGCAACCGGATATATGGTATTTATAATAGCCACAGTATTAACTGTATATTTGGCTATGTACAATGAAATTGAAGACTTTAAAGTAAAGCACAGGGAGGAGTAAAATTTAAAAATATAAAGAAGTGTGAATAAATGATATAAAATGACAAAAATTATGAAATAAAACCGCTTTGAGAGAAATTATCTTTTAATCTGCTTAAAAACATCTACGCGATATTTATCGATTCGGTGTTAACGTATATGATGGTAAAGAATGTGTAGTTTACGTATGCAAACATTACAAGAGATTATATGTTATGCTAACTGAAAGAAAAAGGACGTTTTCGATAAATTGCGTTGATGTGCTCCAATGTGGAAAATTGGATTTCACATTTGCATATTTATATATATATATCTGGCAAGAAAGTACCGGGAATTACAAATTGCGACGTTTAATTGCCTATCAAGGCTCGGATGCATGCCTCGTGGAGAAATTCCTTTTAAAGCAATGTATTTAATACTATGGTTAACCCTTGAGAGTAGTTTTGTGTGCGTTTCCAATAATTATGCAAGAAGTAAACAGGTTTTCACGTAAGACATTATATATCTTAGAAAAAATTGAATAGCGCTCGAAACCATATATGATAAATACGTTAATTAATCGTTAAATATTATATTAATCTTTGGTCTAAGCTTCGATGATTTTTTTGAAGAAGCATTAACTGCAATGCTTCTTGTAAATGTAAAACAAATCTCAAATATCACCGCATTTAAGTATGTTCGTATTTTCGATATGCTTCCATAGAAATCACAAACCTGCTCTAAAATCCACTTTTCCAGCGAGGTAAGGTAGTGGTTTTAAATAGAAAAGAGAGGAAAATAAGTACCAAATTGAAGAGTGAAGCTACTATTCAATTAGTTAACCTCTTAAACCGTATTAGTGTTATTTTTTTTTAATTTTTGACTTTTAATAAATTTGAGCGTTAAAAATGTCTTCGCCTCTGTTAACGTATGCATATTTCTGTAGCCGTTGTTGATATCATTCTTTGAATTGAATAAGTCTTTTCATGCATATCTGACATCATGTTGGCTTCTACGCAACATAGAAACATATCATCCTTCGTTTTATCAAAAGAATCTTCTTGCAATTCAATTTTCATAACTTAACTAGTTACCAGTGACTCATTTCTAAATATAACAAATAAACCGGCTTGGATAACATAAAGGTTTGATTTATATAAAATTTTATACCCCTAGTTACTTTTTATAGTCACAAAGATGATAATGATTTAAAACTTAACTCTGAGAATAAAAAGACCATAGGGACGTACTTTTATCCTTTTCACTCGCCGCCGACAAAATCTTTTAAGTAGATGGCTGCAATGTATATGTAATCCTCGGAAGGTAAACCCCATTCATTCAAGTGCAAAGCCTTGGGAAGTTCGGACACTTTTTTGACAGTGTAAGAACGGTATGCTAAAGTTGTGCAGAATATGTAAAAAATCCTTCGATATTTTGTAAAGATTGAAGTAATATTCCAATGAAACTCTTAGGATTCCGATATCATTGCAATCCTGTAATCTTCACTGACCTGATTTGCTTTCCATTGAGTGTGCCTTACATTGAAAATGCATAAAAATTGTTTTATAATCCACTTGCACATACAAAATTCATTGGACATTGCAACGTCTAGTATAATAAACACAGAGTATATCTTATATACTTATATACAAATGCTTGAAATCGTACATAGATTTCAAATTGCAGTGTCATTGCCGTTGTTAACATGAATGGTTGTTATTTTTATTGGCACAGTACTAGTTTTACTTCTTCACTTAAATTTTTGGTAACACAATCACGCGCACTTTCATTTTTCAAAAGCAACCACATCCAGGTTTATGTAAATAAGTATGTGATTTAGGGGCATATACGGATACTTATAAGCTTATAGGGTTGTCATATTCTTAGGTAACCAGTACCTTTGTGACACCTGGAAAAAAGCAACAAAAATGCCTCAAATTAAATAAATTCATGATCAGGACGCAATCCGGGGCCATCTTAAACTCTATGTCTCGATTCGTCGCCGTGATTCTTATTGGGAGACACACTATAAGTGGGCGTGATTCGTATCCAAAGATGCACAAAAGATTAAAGATCATTTAGGCGCTTCTCTAAAATCTTTAAATAGATGGCCCCATTGAATCGAATTGCTACGAATCCTGACGATCGCTGTCAAAGTAATTGTAAGAAAGAGTCACGATGTTAGCGTAGTGAGTCAATCAGCAATTCCCCAAGGGAAGGGAAGGACGGGTCTCCTACTCATTATAGACGAGATTCTTTCAAAGCAGACCAATACTTCTTTATGGCAACAAATGTTATCAACGATCATAATGAACCCTTTCCCAATTACTAGGTAACTTGAGACCGCTGGTATTCCAAAAGGTGCTTTGATATTTTAAACAGCCGGAGTGTTACTGCTTTTCAGCTCATCCGCCTTACAAGTACGAGATTTTGGAGGCTAGATGAGATGCAAGCACGGCGAGCAGATGACCGGCACTTCTAGATAAATGTAAATGTTGTCACTTGGGCCGAATTGCAGTTTGATGAGAAATTTGAATTATTTATAGGCTTTGTGACAGCATAAATGGGTCCATAATAAGGTTCGACAAGCTGACTTCAAAAGGGATTAAAAAAACCAGAAGAAAATTTTACCCCGGATGATAAGTATCTAAGCTTTGATTAAATCACTTTTTCCCGAATATATTTCAGCTTTTCTAAAATTCTTCACTGACATTTTTTATATCATGATAACTGCTTTGATTATTACATAATTTATGGTAGTTGTATTTTTTTGACGTGCTCGAAAGAGTTTTAATGGAATTTTAGTAACATTACCTTTTTTGGATAATATCATCATCGATGTTGATAATTAATCTGTTTGCGGCGTTTGGCTTCATTTTAAATTATCTAGTCATTGGTGGTTATTATATGGTGTTAAAGTATGTAAACGTTTCATTATATAATTTTAATTTAAAATAACCTCAAATTGCACATAAATTTTAAGCTATCTCCCGTTTTGAGAGGAGGTAAAAATAAAATTAATGTAAAGAAGAGAATGCTTGAAATCGTACGCAGCGAAGCGATACAACGAGAGGAACTGATAAATGTCTCCTTCTTCTTCTTATCCAGTAAATCAATAACCGAAAATTCGGTGAGATGTGTAAAAAAGATCCAATGCGAACACATAGTTCTTTGTTTGGGCCTTAGTAAAGTTGCAGAACGATTTGGTATATAATATCATTATTTATTTATTCTAGTGATTATTTGATTAAAGTTTTTTTTTTAATTTTGCGTGTCATAGTTTTAATTAAAATATGGATATTACTCGTCGGGCACGTACGATAGAACAGAACAGCGAGGAGTAAACATTACGATGAAGCGGTGAGCGAACAGTTGGAGTTAATATTGCGGGCGCAATTCTTTAATCTAAATATAAAAATTTGAACAGAAGTTACAAATATACTAATATATTCCCATTATATTTGATTTACCTTTTATTTGCGGTTCTCCAAGCCCGATTCTCCATTGACTTCATTTTGAGGGCGGACATCTTCAATTTAAAGAAAAAAATTTGAATGTAAGTTACAAATAAGTGATTTATAAATATATTTATACACTGTTTCAATTACCTTCATTTTGCCTACCTCCGTGGTGACGTATCTGTGTTAATACTTTTTTTTTTTGTTTTTCATCTTTTCGCCAACCAGCAGTTGTGTTTATAGATGAGGGCATCACAGATGTGTACTTGTGTTTATGGTTTTTAGAATTTGATTTCTTACTATATCAGCTAAATTTCATGAAGATTCGTTTTATCATAAGATGATATTTTCTTAACAATACGTTGTCTTTAGTTAGAATAAATTAAACATGTCCACCCATTATTATAAAATACCAAAGTACAGTTGGTTTAGTTATGGTTAGTTATGATTTTGCTTCGTTATTCTTAAGTTACAATGGAAAAACGACTTCGCCCACCATACATTGGCACAAGCCGATAATATGTTTTTCATTTTGCTCTGATTCACTTATACATTTAATATATCTGAAAAATTAAAATTTCATTTGGATTTATCCTTTCATCTTTAAAAGATCTTACTACACATAAGAATTCTTTTGCGGAATGAGACGCATATAATAAACCCCTGGACATTTCTTCATCAAAAAATATGCAAAATTTTGGACTTTTTAACATTTTACGTACGTAGACGTACTTGATACAAATTGTATTCAGTTCAGCCTCATATTATAAGTAATTTTTCTGAACTAAGTTTCATCATAAAACCTCAAAAATTAGATACATTTGCCATATAAGGACTTACTTTCAGCAGTAAGAAATTTCCACCGTTTTTGCGAATGAAGATTCAATTTTCGTTGGAATGCTAGAAAGAGCATTCAAAAGGGTCAGAAGTTTTCAAATCAATTTAGAATGCTGAAATACTATTGCTCAACGACTTTTGTCGAGCAATTTTGTAAAGTGAATATTTTTTTTTTTAATATAAAATTTGAAAATAAGTCACTGTACGAAATGGAAAGCGGCCCGTTTAGAGACGCATAACTTTCGTAATATTAATCGCATTAAAACTTACTGTAATGCGCTTGAAAGCTATCGAAAAGTCAAATGAGAAGCATGTGCAGCATGTGCTAATACAATACGCCCTGTGAAAGTGTTTAAAACATCTAAAAGGCCGCGTTGTTTATGGAGGGGATGTTTTATCAAAATGAGCAGCGCGCAAATTTCACAAATGTACTTTCCAGTTTAAAGAATAAAGTCGATTAATTGCTTTCCAAAATTGAAAAAGACCAATTCAAAGTTAACCTACGTAGGGGCTGCGAAGTTAAGAGTTGAGCAAAATAGCAGTTTCGAACCCTTTGCACAAGACTGATGGGAAGTCGAAAAAATTCTTTCCAAAATTGAAAAAGACCAACTCAATTCAACACACCTAGAGGCTGCGAAGTTAAGCGTTGAGCAAAACAATAGTTTTGAATTCTCTGCATAAAACAACTCCCTACCTTTTTCCATTGTATGACAGTATTTTTGGGGCCAATTTTGTTTAAGGTCTCTTG